AAATAAAATTTTTTATTAAAAAAAAAAAAGCAAAAGCAAATATTATTATTATTATTATTTTATCAAACTCTTTTTTTATGTAATAAAAAAAAAAAAAAAAAAAAAAATCCAAAATTGAAAATTTAAACTCGATTATCGATAAAAAAAAATTATACTCAGAGTAAAGCCACTATACATATATTATTAATACTGTTTTTTATTTATTTATTTATTTATTTAAAAAAAAAACTATTCAAATATTTTATTTATTAAAAAAAAAAATTAATAAAAAAAATTTCTCACGGAAGATTATCAAACGCGTGTGTTTATTATATAAAAAAAAAATTATTTATTTATTTATTTGTGTGTGGGTGTGGGAAAAAGCTCAGCAAATTGTGACAAACGTGTTGTAAAAATTAAATTTTTTAATTAAACTACTCAATTATTCGACAAAACCTTTTTCTATTCAACTTTCGATAAAAACCTTTTTTTTCATATGTGTAAATGCGAAAGAGAGAGAGAGAGAGAGACAGAGAGAGAGAGAGAGGGGGTAGAAAAAACCAAAGTGAGTAATCAGAAGGGTAGCGAATGAATGAATGAATGAATGAATGAACGATTACCACAAAAAATAAAGTCACGATAATAATTTAAAAAATTAAAAAAACAAAACACTGTTGTAAGCCGTACATTAATAATAATAATAATAATAATAATAATAATAATAATAATAATAATGATAATGATAAATGATTAACAAATGCGCGCATTTTTATATTTGTTCGCTTTCAAGCATGTATTAAATTGTTTTTTTTTTTTTTTTTTTTTTTTTGGAGGGGCGGGGAGGTGGAGGGGTGATGGGATTTCGATGTCGATCGATACAAGTATAAAAAAAAAATAATAATTTTGAAACTGACTTAAAATTCCAAATTCCAAATTCACGATTTGTATAAAAATGAAAAAAATCAACAAACGAAAAAAAATACGTGACGAATGAGCCAACGATCGTCTCGGTCGATTCATATCTAATCTATGTATATGTACATATATAAAGTGCAAAATAATATATATATATAAATTAATACATTTATGTATAGGCCTTACTGTAATTGATTAATGCACACGAGAAAAATTACTTTTTTTTTTAAAAAAAAAAAAAAAAAACCTCATAAATCTATAATTTTATCCTTCCTGTCCGAAATCCTGAGTGAACTGATCTAATTTTTTCAAATCTTCCGCATTAACTGTCGGTTTGGACGTGGCGACCGACCTTAACATATCCGCCTAAGACATTTTTATGCATTTAAAAAAATTAAAAACATTCCGTAAAAATTCCGATAATGATGGAAAGAAAGAGAAAAAAGAAAAAATAAAAAATAAAAAAGAGAGAGAAACTTACCATTGTAACGGGCGGCTCGTAAAGTTTATCACCTGGTACGTCCATCCAATTCATTTCTATGGCTCCTTTATGACCAGGTGAACATGGAGTCAAAAGGTCGTCGACTATAACAGAAGGATCTGTGGGCGACGGTCCTCTGACTCTGACAAAATGTGTAGCCGTTTGGACTTTTCTAACAGGTTGCATCAATGCATCTCGTACAACGATACTGATATCAGCACCAGAGTACCTGAGTAAAAAAAAAAAGAAAAAAATAAATGTAAAGTTTTTAATTAAGTTTTTTTGATAAAATAATTTTTTTTGTTTTAAAAACTTACCCTTCGGTTTGGGCAGCCAACTGTCTGAGATCTTCATCGGTTAGAGTGTGACGAGTAGATCCTAAATGCAATTTAAACATTGTCAATCTGGCCGGTTCTTCGGGTAGAGGAATGTAAATTCTTTTTTCAAATCTTCTTCGAATGGCAGAATCCAAAACCCAGGGAATATTAGTCGCTCCTAATACTAAAATTCCATCCATGTCGTTTCCAACTCCTAAAAAACAAAAAAAAATTAATTAATTTACTTTAATAGAAGTCTACAAAAAGGAAAAAAAAAAAAAAAACTTTTAAGATGTTAACCTTGCATCTGAACTAAAAATTCAGTTTTGATTCTTCGAGCTGATTCACTTTCATTATCGCTTCTCGAAGAGCAGAGAGAATCAATTTCATCTATAAATATTATACTCGGTTTATGCTGTCTGGCTAATTCAAACAAATTTTTCACAAGTTTTTCAGATTCTCCAAGCCATTTAGACACCAAATCAGATGAAGATACGGAGAAAAATGTCGAATTATTAGCTTCAGTAGCGACTGCTTTCGCCAAATATGATTTACCCGTTCCTGGGGGCTGTGAAAACATTTTATTAATTTAATAAAAATCAAATTTTCAAAATTTTAGCATAATTCAATTAATAAAATCACCCCGAAAAGCAAAATTCCTTTCCATGGAATTCTTTTCCCAGTGAATAAATGAGGAAATTTAATTGGGAGAATTACAGCTTCTTTGAGTGCCTCTTTAGCTCCCTCTAATCCCGCTACATCCGACCATTTGACAGAGGGTTTTTCAACAACTATAGCACCTTCAAGTTTGGCTAATAATTTTTTTTTCTCAGGATCATCATCATCACTATCACTATCACTTTTTTTGTCATCTTTAGATGCTTCACCATCTTTAACTGGTTTTTTAATATTTTTCCCTTTTTTGAGGTATTCTTTCAATTTTTCAGCTCTATCAAGGTATTGCAGGCACTTGGCTCTTATACTTTCTTTCGCTCGTTCCCCCTGAGCTTCATCTGAAAAAATGTAAATCATTTCAAAATTAAGAAATATTTATATATATATATTTATTTATAATAAGCAAACAATAACAAAAAGGAATAAGTTTCTAAAAGAACTTAAAGCTAAGTTTAAAATTATTGGCATTAAATCAATTGTGTCACTTCAAATGTCACATCATAATTATTGATATATGTATATATTTTTTTTTTAATGGTAAAATCCTTTAGAGTAATTTTAAAAAATATAAGTTATCCTGATAAATACATGATCATTTGAATATAAATTCAACAGAAAGTATATTTTAAATGACTTACATTTAATGGCGTGTAAAAAATATTCTACACCGTGCTCGTATAATCTTAATGCTTCCTCATAATTTTTATTTTTATCTTCTTCCGTGGCTCTCGTAACAAGATCAATTGCTTTTTGTAACGTTGTTGTACCAGACATTGTTTTTATTTCTTTTTGACTTAAATTCTTAATGTGTTTTAAGCCTTATCTAAAACAAGTAAATATTTGTAACCATAACGTCATTCTCACGAATAGGCTTAATTAAAAAAAAAAAAATCACCAAGGTTAATCAATTTAAACAATTATTTATACACATATTATGTTAAAAATTACCAATAATCGAACACATGTAAATAATAAACTTATTCAAGCATAAATACTAATATTTTTCATGTTATAAAATAATCAGTTCAGTAAAACTAAAATGTACTCAAAAGAAAATACGTGATGCTAAAATAAAAATCTGATTCCACGATTTCACTCAAAAACTGTAAAAGAATCTAGTTAGAGTTAATCATACTTTTTAGGGAAACCTTGTACAATCAAGGCCGGATTGTCACCTAATTTAAAAAACGTCAATAATTTATAAAAAAAATTTCGAATTATTTTGTGATAAACAATACCGATGACAATTATTTAAATTAATAATTTTCACAAAACTTTAAGAAACGTTAAATAAAAAAAATGATAGCTAAATTTGAATTCCGTAAATTAACAATTACGATACTTTGCAAACTATTATTTTTATTCAAAATAAAAAATTTTTATTGAAAAAAATTAATAATTAAAAAAAAAAAAATTATTTAATAAAAATTTTTAATCAATTACAGTATAAATTTTTTTTTTTCAAATCTAAAATTCCAATTAAAATATTTTATGTCGTGTCACGAGAATAAGCACAGATATTAGAGATTTACATTCTATGCTTCTCAAGTCATAAACCCCCCCCATTGTTTTGTTTTTATTTTATTACGATTTGATTTAAATTGAATTTAAAAATTATTGAATAATTTTTTATTTTAATGAATCAAAGTTAATAATCGACTTTATAAGTCTTTTTATTATCGATCCCCTTAGTTATTAAATAAAATAATTAATTGTTTATCGTAGTAAATGCTAAAAAAGTATTTGTTGTAGTACATTTAAAAATTTATTTACAATTTTTTTATACACCTGCTTATTCGTAAAGAATGTAATTAGAATTAAAATAATTAGTTTTCAACGAATAATTCGAATGAAATGTTTAAATAATATAAAAATACAACATAATTAACATAAAAAATGACAGTATTAATAGATTAATAATTATTAAATGTTAAAAGTTTAATATGAAGATTTTAAAATGACATTTATAACTTCCTTATATTAAAATTTATGTTTTTAATAAAATTTAAATAAGTTATTATTTAATCATGAACACTCGATTTACACTCACAACGATAGGAAGAAAAGCTTGTCATGCAGTGGGTCGAATAATTATTCATTGTTGGGCTTTAGCTGGTGCAACTTTATTGTGTTGTTTTTTGTTGTATTGGGTTTTGGGGGGCTTGATACCATTTCTTTTGCTATGTTTTGCTGCAACAGGTGATTTATAATTATTTACAATAAATGAATAATATATATATATAAAAATAAAATGTTGAATAAAAAAAAAAAAATTTTTGCAGGAATTTTATATCAGTTGGAAGATTATTTATTATTTCATCCGGATCTTCCTCCCTATTCTCGATTATTTGTTTCTTTGCCTTCTGTGTTTGGTTTACCTTATGAAAGTGTTTTTACCAGAAGTGGAGATGGAACATTGATTCATTTATTTTTGATTCTTCAACCAGGTGAAACCTCATCTAAAGCACCAACACTCCTTTTTTTCCATGGAAATGCAGGAAATGTCGGTCATAGGTATCGATGCAAAAAAACATTTTAAATAAAATAAAAATTGAAACAAATACATTGCATTAAATAAAAAAAATTACAATTATCAGGTTACAAAATATGGTGGGACTGTATCAGTCTCTTCATTGCAACATAGTAATGTTAGAATACAGAGGTTATGGTTTGTCACAGGGGATTCCAAGTGAAGAAGGTATTTATATGGATGCGAGAGCGGCATTGGATTTTATATCGTCAAGACAAGATTTTAATCACAAAGAAATTATTTTATTTGGAAGATCACTGGGTAAGCATTATATCATATTAGAAAAAAAAAAAATTAAATAATGTTACCAATGAATGAATGATTTTTTTCAAGGTGGAGCTGTAGCAATCGATTTAACTTGTAATCTGCTTTACTCACAAAAAATTTGGTGTCTTATCGTTGAAAATTCATTTACAAGTATTCCAGACATGGCTAGAATTCTTTTAGGGTGGAGAATATTAAGAAAACTTCCATTAGTTTTTTACAAGAGTAAATTTTTGTCAAAAAGTAAAATTAATCAGGTAAATGCAAATTTGTTTACTTTTTTTTTTATACAAAAAGCTCCATCGCAGAAAATAATTTAATTAAACTTGATAATTTTTTTTTTTAAAATAAAAGGTAAAAGTGCCTACATTATTCGTGTCTGGATTATCTGATTCTTTGGTACCATCTAGAATGATGAAAGAACTTTATGATGAGTGTTCATCGGAGCATAAAAAACTTGTCGAATTTCCAAATGGTACACATAATGAAACATGGACATGCCAAGGATATTACACAAGTTTAGATGCATTTATAAAAGATGTTAGATTAAGAAGAATACAAAATTATTCATAACAAAAATGTGTTAACTAGTCGGTTAAAAAAAAAAAAAAAAAACTTTTCTTATAGTTTTTCCTTTTCATAATTTATCGATATTTTATATAAAAATGTGATAATTTGTAAATTAATTATTTAATTTGTCATGAACTTTTAATGATAATAATAATAATTAAATTATTTAACTTATTATTTATTATTAATAATAATTTTTATGTTATTTAAATTAATTTTATCGAAGAAGCAAGCAAGGAAGGAAGCAAAAGTTAATATTAAAAGTTATTATTATCATTATTAAAACAAATTGTGTTAATGTTATTTAAAAAAAAAATTTTTTTACCTGACAAAATGTGGAAAATGGAAAAGTTGAATTTCAGGTTTTTCTTTCTTCTTCTTCTTCTTCTTTCCAAAACAATAAAAATTCCATTCAAATAATTTTCCACTAAAAAAAAGTAAAAAAAAAAAAAAAAAAAAAAGAAAAAAAAATTATTTTGTAAATTTATTTAAGCTTACTATGTTTTTATTATTATTATTATTATTACAAATAAATGAATTATTTATTTAAATAATAAAAAAAAAAAAAAAAAAAAATGCGATTATAAAAGTTTTTTTTTTGTTTTTTTTTTTGTTAGTTAAACAATTTATTTGGCCACGTACACGAAAAATTAAATGAAAAAAAAATTTTTGTTTATATATATATATATATACAAATTCATATGAATACATAATTATTATTATAAATAATTTTAATAAGAATAAATAATAAAAACAAATTTTATTATTATTATTATTATTATGATAACGAAACTTACCGTTATCACTCGACCACGTGTTCTTTTTAAATTGTCAATAAACAAAATAATAATAATAATAATAATAATAATTCGCAAGGCTAAAAATCTTTTCTTTGAAACTTGCTTAGTAGAAAGATCAATCAATTAATAAAAAATTATGTATGTATGTTATTATTATTAATTTAAATAAATTAAATGGGTAAAATAATAATAATAATAATAAATGCCACCCATTTAAAATTTAAATAAATAGAAAATAATAATAATAATAATAATAATAATAATAATAAATAATAATAAATTAAAGCTACCAGTCTTGATGATTTTCAATTTATTTATTTATTAATAACTTTTATTAATATTAATAATGATGATTACGATTAAAAAAAAAAAAAAAAAATCACACGAATAAATTTATGAGCTTTATCATATACGAATAACAATAAAAATATTTAATAATAATAATAATAATAATAATACCTGTAATAATAAAAAAATTTCTCAATCGTGATGGCGACGTGAAGAAATTTTTCACCTTGCGATTTACTAAAAATAATAATAAACAATTTGATCCCAATTATTATTTAAAAATAAATAAATAAATAAATAATAGTAATAATAATAATAATAATAATAATAATAATAATTTTTCGACGATTTGACGATAAAAACAAATTCAAAAACATTTACTAATTTTATTTAATTTTTTTGTATACATTTAAGACTTCTTTGGTATTTTTTTTTTTTTTCATTATTTATTTATTTATTTATTTAATTATTTAATTAAATTAAAAATTACCTTTTAGGGTATTCCCCTTTCTACAACCTTCTTATATTAATTGTAGAAAAACAAAAAAGAAAAAATACTCGGTCCCGTTTAATTAAAAAAATTTTTTTCCCCTCCCCCTCCCACCCTAATTATTGAGGCAAATAGATAAGCCACTACCGTATTCAAATTATTATTATTATTTATTATTATCATTATCAATTATTCATTATATTTATGTATACAAAATTAATTCCCCTAAAAATTTATTTCAGTTAACTCACTCATATATAGAATACATAACCTAATAATAATATTATTATTATTATTATTATTATTATTACTATTGTTGTTGTTGTTGTTGCTGTTGTTGTTATTGTTGTTGTTGTTGTTGTTGTTATTGTTGTTGTTGTTGTTATTGTTGTTGTTGTTGTTGTTGTTGTTATTGTTGTTATTGTTGTTGTTGTTGTTCAAACAATTGTTTGTTACATTTCCCTCCGTTAGAGTTATCTCTCTCTCTCTCTACCCTTAACTACGGCAATGTACTAACGCGCAACTACCTATCTCGTCGAAGGGAAATCCCCAATTTTTTTGTCATGATGATGATGATAATAATATCAATAATTAATTACGGTAATAATAATAGTAATAGTAATAATAATAATAATAATGATTAACTCGAATTGTTTCCAGTCTTAGTAACGGAGGATTCCTATTTCTACCTCGATATCGAATTAAGAACATCTTTGATTGTGTTTTGAACTTCGTTACACAAAAGTATGTTTTCCTCCGAGTTCCTCGTTCCCGCCGACCGGAGTTGACGGGCAAGGGAATCCAATCGGGAGAGCAATTCCCGGTATTTAAATTTCACTTGGGGAGGACTCAGGGAATCGACGTAACCTTGGCATTTGCCGTGGAGCAGTCTTATTTTGTCGGATAGTTGAAGCCATCCCGCGGTCGTCGTCGCTCCGCTTGATTTCAACAATCCCAACGCGTTTTCCAACGCCTGAGATATTTCCAAAACGGATTCTTTGTTCTTTTCCGGAGATTCGACATTTTTCCCGTCGGACCGACTCGGAGTCGCGTAAATGTTCGAGGGCGCGCTCGGTTTCGCCGGCGGCGGCACGACTGGTTTGGATGATTTGACGATGGGTTTCGCGGGCACTGAGGGTTTTTCATCCGCGGACGTTAAACTCGGCAGCAGCGGCGGCGGCCATATTTTTTTGTCGTGAGGACTCGAGTCTTTGTCGTCGGATTTGGACAATTTATTGCTGAGCTTGGGACTGATTTGAGAAACGCTTTCGACTCCGTCCTTGTTTTCCCACAGTTTTTTCAAACTGTTTATGGATCCCGTGCTTTTCCTTTTGTTTTCCTCGTCCGCACTCGCGACTTCGTTTTCATCTTCGTTGCACTCACCACTACTCTTTTTTTCCACTTCAACTTTTCTCAATCGAGACTTAAAATCCACAATCGTTCCATTATCAGTTTTTTTAACCACAGTCGGATCAATTTTCTTTAACTGAGTTTTTAACATGACTTCACCGTTGTCTTCCTTACTCGGAAACTTTCTCGTTTGAGCCTTGGAATCGGAAGGAGATTTTTGAATATCAGTCGGTGAATCTTTATTCTTGGCGGTTCGAACTTTGATTTCTGCCACCTGCAAAATCAAAACCATTTTGTAAAAAAAAAACTCATGTCAACAAAATCTTTTTAAATGACTCCCCCCCCCCCAAAAAAAAAAAAAAAAAAAAAGAAAAAAGAAAAAAGAAAACTAGCCAATTTTAATTCCAAAGAACTTTTTATAGCGGAATTTTTAATTTTATTCGACGTTAATTCTTTGTCGTCCTCAGGAGGTTTATCCGAATTTCCTAAATTATTATCGTTATTAACGGCAGAATCCGATGATTTAAAATTTCCTAAAGAATCAATTGAATTTTCTAATCGGCGAAGGCTGATGCCAAACCTTGGAGTTGACGAATCCGAGGATCGATGAAAATCTGAATTGGTTTCGTTCTGAGCATTTGATTCAACCTGGATGTTAAAAATTGATTCATTTTTAAAGTACTCGAGAGAGAGTTTATAGGAGGTTTTTGAAATCGTTAAATTACCTCGGTGATCGTTGAATTTTTACTAGCTTTGGGTGAGGAAGAGGACGACGACGTGGGAGGTCGTTTATTCGAAGAAGGCGGCGGAGAAGACGGCGAGTCTTCGGAGGGAGGAGGTGGCAAATCGTTAGGAGGCGGAGGAAAATCCATTTCCGCCAAGTTGGGAGGATTTCCCCTAGACGGACTGTTTGTTTTTAAACAATTTGACGAATGTTTGGGATTCGGTCGAAATGTTCTCAAATTACCAGCCGAATCCGTGCTGTTATTACGCGTCACGCCTAAAATAAAAATCAATAGACTAATTTAAAATGAGCACTCTTTCATTTTTCACGTCCAGATTTTTCAAAAATTTCAATGCAACAATGACTAAAACTAAATAAAATTGATTCGATTGATTTCACCTCCGCGTGATCTGCTGACTTTGTTAGGTGATGATGATGATGATGGATTTATACCGACTACGCCACCCGAAGAATTACTTCGAGTCATATTCGACTGAACGTTTGAAAATTTCTGTGGCACTTCTGTAACCGAGGAAGCCGTCGGAGTTTCTTCGAGAGGAACAACTTCTTTTATTTCGCTAAATTTAACAAAAAAAAAAAAAACAATAGGTTACAACAAAACAATTCAATGCGTTTTTCGCACTTTCTTTTCAACGGGAAAAAATTTACCTTTCGCAACAATCGGTGCTTAAACCGCTTTGACGAAGAGATTCAAGGTAGGCTCCTATTCTTGCTCCCTTCGGTAAAGTTCCGTATCTGTTAATGGCACGTTTTACGTTTTGAACTTCCAAAGCAGCTATTTGCACGGGCTAAATTAGACAAAAAAAAAAGAAAAAAAACTTTATCCTTAATACCCATTTCCGTTTCACTCCTTAATTTCATTAAAATTTCCAACAAACCTTTTCCCCCCCGGATTCTTTCGGCGGATACGTTTTAGTTTTTTTCCCTATTTGTTCCAAACCTCTGTTTCCCATTATCGGAGCTCTTTTAAAAGAACCGTGCGACAAATCCATTGGAGGTTGAGTTGGCTGCTCCGGATAGGAATGAGCACCCGAATCATCCGTATCCGGTGTTTGGTCTTGTAAATCACTTTCGCTATCTCCTTTGTTTATCGATCCTAAATTTGGAAACTCTTTGCTATTGCCTACGAAAACAAATTTTTTATTTAAAGTATTTAAATTTAAGCCGCTTTTTATAAAAATACAAAAAAAAAAAAAAAAAAACAAAATTTTACCGTTGCACTCTTGCGAATGTTCATCGGATGGATTTTCCCCGGAATCCTGATCGGCGAATGTCGAATCTCTAAAGGAACTACACGAAGATAATAAACTGAAAATTAAACAAAAAAAAATTAATTTAAAATTTTACAAATAAATAAATGATAAAATTAAATTATTTAATTTGTTTAATACCTGGTTCTCTTTGGTGGAGCCGGAGCTTGTTTTCCTCTCTTGTTCGTAGTACGTCTCATTTGAACCATTGATTTGTTGGCAGTTACGGGAAGAGTTGGAGTAGTAAAAGTACTAAGTTTATTAACTTGTTCTACGGAACAAAACAAAATGTAAAATTTACAAATTTTAATAAAACTAAACTAAATGAAAAATAAAAACGAGGAAATTTTGATTTGGTTTACCTTTGGGAAGAGGATCTGACGTTTGAACTAATCCGTGCAAATTTCCGGTGCTTCCTAAATTAACGCTTTTCACTCCGACCGAGGAGTTGTGAGATGATTTTTTACAAGGCATTTGGGGAGTCACCGTTCCTTGAAGTTGTTTTTCCACTTCTACTTGAAAAAAAAAAAAAAAAAAAAAATTTATAATTATTACGATGCGCTTTTACATGCATTTTCATTTTTTATATTTTGACAAGAGTTAAAGTGTACCCTCTGTGATGCTTGATTCTTGAAACATGTTTTCCAAAGAGTGATGTATTTCTCTAAATGTCGGTCTTTCGATGGGTTTCCATTGCCAACATTGACGCATCAGCTCGTAAATTTTAGGCGGGCATCCGGGAGGGATTTCCATTCTAAAAAATTATGCAAGTTTTTGTAATATTTCAAATCAGAACAAGGTAGTATTTGCGAAAATGAAAAGTTCGTACCTGTATCCTTTCTCAAGCATGTGATAAACGTCCGTTAAATCAACGCCTGGATACGGAGACATACCGTAGGTCGCAATTTCCCAAAGCAATATTCCAAAAGCCCAAACGTCCGACTTTGTCGAAAAAATATTGTAAGCGAGACCTTCAGGTGCCGTCCATTTTATCGGAAATTTTGCTCCGGCGTGAGCGGTGTAAGTATCATCTCTCATGAGCCTCGCCAATCCAAAATCGGCCACTTTTACCAAATGATTTTCAGCAACGAGACAATTTCTTGCAGCGAGATCTCTGCGAAGGAAAATGGAGTGACGTAAAAATAAATTTTTCAATAATTATAAATCATTATAAAATTTTGTGGAATCAAAAAACGCACCGGTGAATGAAACTGTGGCTTTCGAGATAACTCATAGCACTTGCTATTTGCGTCGCCATGTACATTAAAGCAACAGCATTAATGTGTTCTTTACTACCCGTTCGAAGATAATCGAGTAAATTTCCTTTACTCATAAATTCGGTGATTATGTAAAATGGAGGTTCCCGAGTGCAAACACCTGCGATGAAATTTTAATTTTTTTATTTTTTATTTTATTTTATTAGAACTAAGAACAACGCCGAATAATTAAAAAATTTACCTAAAAGTTGAACTAAATTCGGATGCTTCATTTCTTTCATGATGGCTGCTTCCGCGAGAAAATCTTTCAACGCCATTGTATCTTCCTTAAGAGTTTTAACGGCAACCGTCATGTTATACCTCATCCAAACGGCTTCGTAAACATCACCGTATTGACCACCTCCCAATTTATGTCGCATGACTATATCGGTTCTGTTTATTTCCCATTCATCGGGCTCTTTGAAAAAAATCCAGAAAATTTTTTTTTTTACAATAGTTTTTACATATAAACAAAACAAATAAAAAGCGTTAGTTTTCATTCGCCTTAATGAAGCAAATAATTCTAAACATTCTATAAAAATCTATATCAAATAATAATAATATCAGTTTATGAAGCTGCTTTAAAAAATGTCTAAACCTTAAATATAAATATTATTTTAAAGACATAAATTTTCAATAAAGGAAAAAAACAATTTTTTTTTTTTCTTTCTAAAGATAACATTAACAGCACTCCCAGACACAAGCCATGCCTCGTTACACACAATACCAAATACAAAACTAACTTTGTATAACTTGATGAGGTCGAGAAGTACCTGGACTCAGTGCGAAGACAGTTGGCTTATTGTGTTTCGGAGCGGGGTATAACAATTGTGTTATTAATCCGTCAGAATGCAAGGAATGATGGTGAACTAATTCAGCCAATGTGTTAAATTTACTTTCGGTTGTGACGTAGACCTAAAATTAATAAAAAAAAAAACTTTTATTACATTCATTTTACGACATTAGATGCATATATCAATTATCTGGCTATTACACTTAACCAACTACTGACCTTTCCCTCACTATCTTCATTTATGCGATAATGATAAACGCGACCTTCATAGCGAAGAGATATAGATCGTTGCCCAGGACTAGATTCTGATTCTCGTACCAGAAAACTTCCATTAATGCCAGAACTCAGAAGATATTCTGGAAAATTTATCAAAAATGAAATTTTCAAAATCAAAATCATTAAATTGAAAAAAAAAAAAAAAAAACAATTCTTTTGATTTGTGTATTTAATTTAATAAAAATTATTATTCTCACGCCTGTGTGTAAAATTCATGACTTTTTTTTTTTTTTTTTTTTTTTTTTTAAGGGTTAACGACATATAATTAGGCTGTTTAAAAAAAAACAACACAAAAGTCAATTACGGGTCCTTGAACTCATTCGTATTAACTTGCGGATTTAAATTATTAACTATATTTACTCCTAACCTGCGGCATTACGCGAAATTGGTCCGTGATACCATGAATGTTTTTCTAATGAATTAACAGGAGTAACATAATTGCTGGGCACCCAACCAACTTGTCCAGGGCTGGAATGTGCTTCACACCATTCTCCACTTTTATTATAACTTAATATTCTTATTTGTTCTCCTGTAAATAAGAAAAAAATCATTTTGAAAAAAAAAAAAACAAATCAAATACGACAAAACTTATTTGCATGTGCAACAAAATTAAAAAAATAAAATAAAAAGTTAATCATGACTTGTCATCAAAATAAAATCCTCCATTTTTAAATAATAAAATTTCAATAACAATCTATTTACTATTGTCATTTATTTATTTTTATAAAAAATTTTTTTGTAATGCATCGATTGACATTATGCATTTATCGAATTTCAATTATACTAAATACTAAATATCGATTTGTAGAATTCGGATTTGAAATTTAATTATTTTTATGTTTTATGTTTTAATTTACAAAACAATATAATTTGGTAAAATGTTGTTGTTGTTGTTGTTAAATTAGTAAATAAAAGATTACAATGTTATTTTAAACATGAATAAGCAGGGAGAAAAAAATTTTTTTTTTTTAAAAGATCTTTGTTAAAACATAAAACAACCCATTGTAATTTTTCATATAACTATTTATTATTAGTAAGCTTGAATTAATTAATAATAAATTATATATTTTTTTTACTAATTATATATATATATAAAAAAATTAATTTTTACCCTTTTTTTTTTCTCTCTCTCTCTCTCTCTCTCGATTCAATCATTCGAAATTTTTTTTTTAAATGTGAAAAAAATAAAAAAACAATTTGTATGTTTTTTTTTTTGAATTGTAATAAATTAGTAACCTTTTTTCAAGCTTAATTGATTTTCTCCACCTGCAGTAAAATCATATAATGCTACAAAAAGTTGCGGATCATCTTCTTCTTGACACAAAAGATTTTCTTTTGATGTCCATCTGGCAGCGGAATCCAATGGAGAACCTGTGACGCTTGGAGGAGATCCATCGGGAATGCTAGGTATGTGTGGCAAAGGTCTGCTCTGTAGAAGTGCTTCTAAAAATTTTTAAAACATATGTTTTGCATCCGACAGCAGACAACAAAAAAATTTTTTGGGAAAATAATTGATAAAAATTACATTTATATTTCAATGTAATTTAATTTCATTCGTTTGAACCTTTATTGACCTCATGCAAATTTTTTTTTTTTTTTATTGAAAAATAAATAGCTGAGTCACAATAAAATATCAAAACAGGATATACTCTCATTGGTTCATATTTGGAAAATACTTTAAGTTAAAAAAAAAAAGAATATTAGTTGTTCATACCATTTTTTTTTTTTTTTATTGATTTCAGCTTAAATAATTATAGTAAAGAAAATAATTAAGTTCACTAATTACCTAATCGACCATCACGTCAACCCTTGTACTTCATTATTTGTTTTAATATTAAGTAAATATATATATTGGCAAAGTTATATTCGAAATGTAAAGATATTTTAATAATAAATAATTAAAAATAATTCATTATTAAATTAAAAAGCATTAAGCATTAATAATAATTATTAATTGTTAACAAAAAAAAAAAAAAAAGGAAAATATTGAAAATATCTCACCGTTGTGTTCAGTGAATATATTCGACCCAGACTGCTTTCCATCTTTAAAACTATTTTTCGTTTGCAGTTGCTGTTGCTGCTGCTGTTGAAACCTGTTTTTGGTTCCCCGAACAGACAACGGCCCTGAAGACACACCTTGTCCAACTGTTCCAGAAGTTGACACAACGCGATCTTTGGTGTGTTGGGCACCCATGATTTGAGTCGGACACCATTCCCCACGGCTACACGCCCAGCGTAGCCCCGGCTTTTCTAAACATACATTTTAAGTAACAAGTATCATTTTAACAATCCTTATAAATTAAAAATGCACTTATTAACATGTGATTTTATAATATTTAATATTAAATAAAGTTCAAAATGGTAAAACTCAGTAATTATTATCCGCCATATTGAACATCTCAACATCGATTATTTAGTTTTAAAAAATTACCACGGTGGCAGCACATGACACACACACACACACACACCATGTTATTTAAAAAATTGTTTTTTTTTTTCTTTCTCAATAATAATATCAAAATTATTTAGACTTTAATGCTCCATTATTTATTTTTTTTCTTAAATTAAAATATAATTTTTAACTCTCAAAACATGTAATAATACTAATCATTTTAATTTAAACATGATTATTTTTTCAAAATAATATCTTGATGATGACAGTTTTGATTTGACGTTAGAGCCTTGGAAGGTCACACAACCACATATGCTAGATTAAAATTTTTTAAACAAAAATTTTTTTTTTTTCATCAAATCAATAAAAGTAATTAATTCTCAAGTGTAAACTTCAGTTATGGAAAGTATCACGAATCGAGAGCACTAAAATTTTTAACCAAAAAAAATTCATGATAAATTAATTACTCCTAAACTTTTCAAAAAACGTGTCTGTTTTTTCAAATTGTATAAAAATTGTTTTTTTTTTTTTTTTTTTTTATAATTTGACAACAAAAAATATTAAACAACTAAATAATATTATTAATATAAAAGTTTATTATTAAAATAATAAATTTTATAAAAATTATTATTTTGGATTAATTCTTTTTAAACAATACAATACAAAAAATACTGAAAAAATATTTACAAAAATGCAATATTAATAATATTTTTTTTACTTGTAAAAATTTATAAAAAAAAAAAATTCTGGGTAACTTTCTTATAGTTACCTGAGATTATATAATAAATATGGCTAATACTAACGCATTCTAGTACATCAATATTTAATCTAATTAAAATTACTATGACAAAAATGTCGCAAGGCTCATATTAGACAAAAAAAAAAAAAAAATTGTAGGAATTGTGATTAAAAAATTTTTTCATTATAAATTTCAATTATGGATTATAAGACATCCTATGTACTTCAGCTTGAGCTTGTTTTAAGGCTTTTTCCTCAATGCTATGATCAATGTCATCTTCATCGTCATAATGAAATGCAGCTTTATCTTCTGGTGAATCTTCTTTTGTAAGAGGACATTTTAAACAACTGTTTAAAAAAATCATTCATTAAACATTTATCAAAAGTAATTCCAATGAATTAAATTATAAAAAAAAAAAAAAAATTTTTTTACACATACCGACTTTCGTTGATTCCATAATTTATGCAAGTATGTCCAATACATTCGCAGCATCCATCATGAAACCATCTATATTTACTAGCACCAGTGGATTGACATGAACTTTTACATTTGTTCCATGACATACATTGACTCATATAAGCCACTGTACAATTTAGGGTAATTATGTCTTTTCTAAAAGTGATTTCTTGTTCGTTACTTTCTACAAAACAAATCCAAAATACAACAAAATTTTAGAATAAAAAAACATTTTAGAAAAAATCAAAAAGTAAATAATAATACTAAAAAATTTTCAAGATGCTTACGAGTTAAAATTTTAATTTCTTTTTCGATTTTTGGCCTGTATATTGATAAATCAAAATCGATAGGGTATGTAAAAGTATGCCACCTTTCCAAAGTATCAGGTTCAGCCATCAAAGCTTGAAAAAGATCAGGTATGGGTTCTTGAAAATCTTCTACATGACTTTTTTTACTCAGAGCATTTCCCGTATCATTTGGTTTGGGGCACATGTCTGCAACAAATTTTTTTTTTTTTTCAAAATAATAATAATAAATCGAAATAATAAATTTATAATGAAAATATTAAAAAATTATAAAAAACTGTGCGAAACTAACATACCGACACATGAGCAACATTCGGTATAAAGGTAGCTTAAACAAGTAAAACATTCTTGGCAACATGAACAATTTTTTAAATCGCATTTACATGATTGGGTTAACATACATTTACTAACGACACTTGCACAAACAGCTTCATTGCAACTTTCTACGCTATTAAATATTAATATGGCTGATATGGAAATGGTCACTGTAAATAATATTATTCGTATATCATTCATATTGATTTCTGAAATGAACAAAAAAAAAATTTCAACTATCAATTATATAGATAGAGACTTAACAAATAGCAAATTTTTATATTTTAATTGTTTTTAGTCAATAAGTTAAAAAAAAAAAAAAACCATGGATTAACTAATTCTTTAATTCTACAATGTCAAAAATTGTTAAATGCTCTCACACAGGATTAGTTTTAAAATCTTACACCGTAAAATTATAAAATATATTAAATTCATGCTAAAAAAAATAAATGGATAATTACTTTAGGAAATATTATAAAAAATGTAAAAAAAAAAAAAAAAAAAACATCCAAAATTAATAATTTGTAAATAAACAACATGTAAAAAAAAAAAAACAGGCAGGCAGGATTCTCGTTAAATTACGAAAAAAAAAAAAAAAAAATCCCTAAAATAATCATATCGTAGCCTTCGTTATTTTTTAGTTATCGTTAAAAATTATTATTATTAATCGTTTTTAAATAATTTAAAAAATTAATGATTGATTAAAATATATATGAATTTAAAATTTGAAAAATGGTTTTGAATATGGTGGGAAAAAAATTTATTTAAAAAAATTTTTTATGAGTGGAAAAAAAAATTACAAATTCAAACATTCAAAGCTCGAATTAAAATTTCGGACTTGACATTTATTATTATTATTATTATGTAGTAGTAGTAGTAGTAAATTTTTTTTTGTGAATTTAGTTTTTAAAGATGGCGGCGAATATATGTTCAATTGCACAGTGTTCTAAATAGTTTTTTTTTTTTTTCATTATTATCATCACTATTAAAAAAATTCATTTTTTTTAAATTAAATAAATTTTTAATTATTTATATATATTTATATAACAAATTAAAATGATAACGTTTAAAATTGTATCATTTTTAACGTATTAATATTATCAATATTGTTATCAACCGATATAAAAATTTCTTTTTTTTTGGGGGATTTCTTACTATGAAGGCAAGTTTATCGTTTTTTTTTTTTTTTTTTTTTTGTATTCTTTACCGGGTGATTGAACTTTTCTTGTAACACTTAAAAGAAAATTAGGCCTGTGAAAAATTTATTTAAAATTTTCCTGTTTTATCCATTCTTTGTGCCCAACTCAACGTAAATACGACATTAAGAAAAAGTAAAAAGAAAAACTTATTACCACTACATAATAATAAATTATTTAAAAAATTAATTAATTACAATAGAATTTATTAAAATATTAATCCAGAGTAAAAACCTGGATTTTATTTTGATTGTGGGAAATCTTTGCAACAACATTTCTCACCAATATTGTTGTTACTGGCAAAAAAAAAAAAAAAAAAAAAAAATATAATAAAAATAATTTTAAAATAGTTTTTTTATTAGCGAATAAAATACATAAAATTTATTTTAATATGTAATAAATTAAAATATTTATTATTTATTTAATTATATACTGTTAATAAAAGGTGTATAAAAAATATTATTATTATTATTATTAGTCTGTGAAAGTAATTTTTATGAACTACTTATGAGAAACCTACTTTCTTTTAATTTTTATTATAGTATCTATTATTTATTATTAAGTTTTTTTGTCCTACATATGGATTTTCATTTTATTATTTGTAAAAAGTTATCCTTAAAACATTTTATATTTATTTATAATAAATTATTAAATTACTCGTAATAGATGAAAACTGGAAGTAATAAAAGTGAGGGTAAAAAACGTAAAAGAGATGATTCGAAAGAAATTGTCAGTTGTGAGGGTGTTAAAAAAGCCAAAGTTCATGCTCAAAGAAAATTTGCCCAAGGTGCAGCATATAATTGTTCTGTGATAACTCCAATTAAAGATAAAGTTAGACCATCATCGTCGACGCCAAGTTCAGGACCGATGCTGACAAATAAATGTCCCAACACAGAAGATTTTCTTACGTTTTTATGTTTTAGAAGTAAGTCCATCGATTGATATTTTACTACTTGAAGTACTATTTTTCTTATGAGTAAAAAAATTTTTTTTGAAACTTTTAGGAACATCTATTTTACCACCAAAATTAGATTTTTTCAAAGATGCTTTGGGTCACGAACAAGACTCGTTACCCATCAATCACAAAAACACGCAAGAAAAATTTGGGCAGAATAATTCTAAGGTAAAAACAATTCATTGATGTGTTAAAAAAAAAAAAAAAAAAAAAACTAAAATTTTTGGTATTACATAGACGATATTGTTAATTGTAGAAATTAGGAAAGAAAAATGATAAAAGTGTTCAAGGTAATAAATGTCAACAAGGTTCTGTACAAGCTCTGAGAATGAAATACCAAGAACAAAGGCTTGCAAAACAAAAAGTGGCAAACGTAACGAAATTGGCACGAAAAGGTAACACATGATTGTTGTTTTATTATTATTAATTAAGTTTAAAAGGGATGGATTTTATTAAATTATTATTTTATTGTTAAGTAAAAGGAAAAAATATGGTAAGAACGCGATCGTCAATAGTCGGAGAAGAACCAAAGACAGATCCTAAAAAACGCAACGTTTCCAACAACAAGGAAAACAAAACGGGTCCCCCGTTAAACCTCAGAAGCGGTTTGAAACGAGCACAATCCGTTATTACCAAAGGAAGAAAATCGATAAAAATAATAAAACCTAAAAATTTCCCGCACGTGAGAACGGGATTAAGAAGCGGAAAAGTCAACGCTCCTAAAAATTCTAAAAAATCCCAAGTTTCCGTTAAATCAACCGCCGGGAATTTGAAAAAAAACGAAATTAAAAAGGCAAATACGGAAATTTCTCAAGTACAAAACGGAAATGGAAAAATGAAAAAAGCAGAAAGTTTTTCGTCTGATTTTTCGTCCGACGACAAAGAACCCCTGGTGACGGTTAAAAAACCAAAGATGCTGACGAAAAAATTAGTTAAATGTAATTCGGAACATGGTAAATTAGAGGATAAAACGTTTGTTAAAACGAGATCCCAAGTCAACGATGGCGGATCGACGAGAGCGCGACCCACGAGAAAGACAAAAGAAGCGGCTGCCATTTACATGGAAATGTTGACGAAAAAATTAGTTAGTCCGGACAAAAGCGGAGACGATGATATTTCATCGGTTGATAGTTTTCCAGAATTACCCAATGCCAAAAGAAACGGTAAGTTAATCATAGTTGTTTTATTAATTACTATTTGTGTGAGATGTCTACTACTATTTGATTTTAATTAATTATTTTCTCTCTCTCTCTCTCTCCCTTCAAAGAACAAAGAGAAAGTGAAATTAAAACAAAAGCACTCGCGAACAAAAAATCGGATTCTAAATGTAACGTTTCCGATGAAAAATCAAAAGATTCTAAAAAATTTGACGCAAGTAGCACAAATTTAAAATTATTAAAAGGAGAGAGTAAATGTTTGAAAAAACAAGGTATAAATTCTAAAAAAGAAAATAATAATAAAGTAAGCGGAGACGTGGAAAATAATTCGATTAAAAAAATTATTAACAAAAACGTTTCAAATAAAGATAATAATAAACAAAATGGAGTTGAAAGTAATAAAAAGGAACAGAGTCGGCCCTCGACGCGGAGTAGGCAGGTGGAAGAAGTTGAAAACGTGAGTGGGGACAACAACACGCCAGACAAAAAAAATGCAAGCAGAGGGAATAAATCCAATGGGAAAAAATCGGATGAAAATTTTGTTCGCAACAAAACAAAAAATAAAGGATTTGTTAAAACTATGCAAAAAAAGAAAGGTGTCGAAGAAAATGGAAAGTGTTTGAAAACTTCCGACGAGTCGGAATGTTTCGAGGAAAGTTGTTCTGGTAAAAGTTTTGAAAGGGATGGTAACAAAAGTCAAAATAAAATAAAGAACGCGAGTGAAAATAAGGAAAAAAGTAAAGAAAATGGGAAAAAGGGAAAGAAAGTGGCGGTTGAGAGTTATGGAAATGAAAAAGATGTCGAAAATAAAAATGATAACGACAACGCCAAAGAGCCGGACGTGGAAAATTCAAGTGGTAGCAGCAGTAATAAACGTCCCACGAGAAAATGTTCGGCAGCGGATAAAATTTGTTTCGAAATCGATGGTTTCACGTCGGACGACGATGATTTTCTCAGTACGTTTAAACCGACGAAACCGAAAACGAACGTGAAAAAAATCGGACTCAATAATCAAAAACAATCGAAATCTAAAAAAGAAAATAAAAAAGTTGAGAAAATTATACAAAGGCCGGAAGAAGAAGAAGATGAATGTAAAAAAGAAAAGGAATTTGTTTGCGTAAAAGAAACGAAAGAAAACGTTGAAGAAATCGCTTCGTCAAGTAATAAAATTAAGGAAGAAGTTTTGCGAGACTCACTCTCGAAAAAGGCGAGCGTTCAAAATGACGTGGGAGAAGAAAACATCGAGTCGAAGATTGAGAGTACGAAATGTGAGGAAAGTGATACGGTTAAAATGTCGGAAAATGAAGATACCAAAGCCAATGTGAAAAAAGTTAGCAATGAATCAGATAAATCTACGGACAAAACAAACGTCGACGATGAGAGTAAAAACACAAAATATTTTCAAAACGAAGAAAATAATGAGGGATCGGAAGTTAAAAAATTATGCGACGGTAAAAAGAAAAATAAAAACTTGAAAGAAAATGCGAAAAAGCAGGAAAAACTGCCGAAAGTAAAAAAAGTAAAGACAGACAAATTGAAAAACGTTGAACCTGATGATGACACCACAACAAACAAACGTACTCGTCCCGTTAGACAATGTTCGACGAAAGAAAAAAAATGGATCGAAACGGATTCGGATTTTAGTTTTTACGACGAAACAAGTGACGACGAAGATGATTTACCCATTCTCGGTATGAGTTTTATGACTAAAGAAAGAGGAAGTGAAGGAGGAACGGAAATGAAAGAAACGATTACTCAAATTGAAAAGAAAAACGAAACGAAAATAACTCAGACTAATGATAAAAAGGAAATGAAAGGTGAAGAAGAAGAGGAAGAAGAAAATCAATCGAATGATAATTTTTCAGAATCCGATGAAGAACCGTTAAAGAAAAAAGCTTTAATATTTGAAAACGAAACCGGAAAAAAACCAGAATCTGGAATCGAATTGGAAAATCAATTAAAATCCCAAGTAAAACCTCCACAGCGAGAAGTACCGGATTTGCATCCTTTAAAAAAATCACCTGGAGAATTATCATCAGTTCCCTTCATGAGTTCTTCTCATTCGAAACCTTTTCCAACGAAAATTCACACTCAAACCTGTTCCAATGCTGAACCTGTAAATGTTGAACCGAAAGTTTTGATATTGGAAAAACCCAACAAAGTGACCGACAACGCTCCCGTAATGGATTCACATAAAAATCCACAAGTACAATTTCCGGTATTGGTCACCGGAAATCCTAAAATATCGGTTCCAAATCGAATCGAAATGATTTTGCATTCGTTAAAAAAGGATAAAGTGATGGACAAAGGAATCGGTGGTAATTCTAACGATGTGAAAGTGACATTTGGAAAAGTTCCTTATCAACCGTTATCATCGCAGTTTACTCAAATCCCTTGCAATTATCAAATGAAATCAATTGTTAATTTTCCACATCCAAGAGAACCGATCAGTACTCACGGATTAGATTTACTTAGCGAAGTTGCTCTTCCTACGACGTCCAAAGAAAAATACGGTTCTCAAACCGAAAGAATAGAAAAATGGTTGAAAGATAGCGTTGAAGTGGAACAAAGAAAAACTTATTCGGGTTACGAAAACGTCGAGTATAAACCTTTGGAACGAGATAAAGTTTCTAAGGCGACGCCGAGCAAATCGGAGAGTCCATTAAACAAACCCGTATTTAGCCCTCCGGTATGCTCTTACGTTCAACCCGAATCTCCTCAAAAATTCAGTCAAATGAATCTGGTGGCATCGCAAAAACTTCTCAAGAAAAACATTTTTTCGTGCGAACTCAGAGTGGAGACTAATAAAATGGAATCTCAACCGACTACGCCGAAAAAGGCATTGACTTCGGTTCAGGATTTGCTGAAACTTCAAAAGGAGAAAAAGGAAATGCCGAAATCGCCAAAGGAAAATTCGCCTCATTTAAAAAATTGTAAATGTAACAGTTGCGTTGTTAAAAAAGGTTGGTTTAAAAATAAACCCATTCCAAACAAGGCCGAACTGCAAAAGTTGTCGCCCATCGATGACGTCGAAGAGTCCGCCAAACCTTTTCAATCTTTGACCAAAGCTTTTTCCAAAGTTACTGAAACGAAGAATTCAAAAGTGGCTGCAAGTGTTGCTCCCATTGTATTGTCTTCTCCGCCTCTTATTGCGAAAACTTCGCCGACTTCGAGTAAAGAATGTAACGAAAAGAAGGGAATATTTCAACAGAAAAAATTGTCGTTTTTAGAAAGAATGAAAGAAAGAGAGAGAAAGGAAATTGTTAGTACAAAACCCAATCCTAATGCATTTTCACCGAATAATGAAAGCAGTGTGTATGCTTTCGAACCGGAACCTGAACAAAGTGGAAGCGTCAATGCACCTTTCAGAAGCAAAATGAGAGAAAGTCGAACGTCAAGCATGTCAAAATCAGATGACGATGGTTTGAAATTGAGCGAAGACGAATCGTCGGCAACGGTATTTTCACCCACGCAAGTTAATAAGCCGACCACCACCACCACGGAGAATAAGGCAAAAACCATGCAAAGCACTTCAATCGCCGTTCAAGTGAACCTCGATTCCGAATCAGTTGCAGAAGTTGAAACAGTACCTGAGTTACCAGATGGTAAAAGCATTGAAATATCAACTCAAACGGAAGTGTCCGAAGAAGATCCCGACAGTCCAATGTTTTATATACCTTTACAACAAGCCACGACATCTTGCGGATCTATAGTTTCCGCAGATCAACAATTAATTCAAGGGGTTGCCCTTAAATTGGGAACGGAAGGGCCTCTGGGTCCTAATCAAAGGGTAGTGATGAAAGCGAAATTAGTCACGAAACCTCCTGATACTCCGAGTATGAAAGCTGTCGTCATGCCTCAGCCAAAGAGAATATTCGATCAAAAAAGTAATAATCCGCCGATAGGTACTGTGCAACCGACGACGAGAAAACCTCCCGCGGAACCTAAAACGACAGAACCTACTGAAGAACCTCCTGTTTTACCCAAAGATTTAAGAACAAGTAGTGAATCCCAGCTTTCCACGGGATCAACATCTACGACAGACAATTTTCAATCAAAATCTAATAAAAGTTCTTCTACGACAATATCCCGAACATCAACGAAAAACAAAGAAAAAGCAAAAGACGCGTTATTAACGTGTAAGGAAAAAGAAATGAATGACGATCCATCCCCTTGCTCGTCAGCGTCTTCCTCTAAATCAAAGAAAACGTCAAAGCAAAAGAATTCTGAAACTGTGATTAACCCTAGCAATAATACATCGTTACCACCTCCCGGATCTGCTTCTAAATTAGTCGAAGCACCTACTTTTCACGCCACCGAAAAAGATTTTCAAGACCCATTTGAATTTTTCGATCGAATACGACCCGCAGCTGAAAAATTCGGTTTGTGCAGAATTGTACCACCGAGTAATTTCAAACCAGATTGCAAAGTCAGTGATGATATGAGGTTCACCGCCTACAATCAGTACATACACCGAATGTTTCACAGATGGGGCCCGAACATAAAAGAAATGATGGCGATTAAAAAATATCTCGGAACACAAAGTATATCGTTGAAGCAACCGCCGTGGATTGGCGGAATTGAAGTTGACCTTCCCAGGTTGTACCAAAGCGTTCAAAATTGCGGGGGTTTGATGAAAGTGATGGAGAAAAAGAAATGGCACCAAGTGGCGGACATGATGAAAATTCCAAAAGCAGCACAAGATAGAGTAACGAAATTGGACGACATTTATTGTAAATATCTTTTACCATACGATACTCTTTCGCACGATGAGAGGCAAAAATTATTTGAGGAAGTGGAAAAAGACTGGGCTGAGAGGGAAAAATCTTCCGAATCGTCAGATTCACAAAACGAAGACGACGATGACGAAGATGAAAATTACATAGAAGAATGCGAAGAATGTGTCGTCAAAGGAAGAAACATGGCCCTGAATCAATTTTACAGAATCGCGAGAAACACGAAAACGATGTGGTTCAAAAATGCAGATCCGTCGCCTCGAGATGTTGAAACGGAATTTTGGAAACACGTCAGCGAAAGAAATCACCACGTTTGCGTTCATTCCGGATCGATAGATTCGAGCGGTTGGGGTTACGGTTTCCCGATTGCCAAAAATAATTCATTTTCAAAACACCCGTGGAATTTGAAAGTACTCACCAACAACAGCGGATCCGTACTCCGATCTCTCGGTCCCGTAATGGGTGTAACAGTGCCCACTCTTCACGTGGGAATGGTATTCACTGCTTTCTGCTGGTATCGGGATCCCCACGGATTACCCTGGATCGAATACCTTCACACCGGAGCTCCAAAAATTTGGTACGGCATATCCGACGATAACAGTTCGGTCTTTCAAGACGCTCTACGCAAACTCATTCCTAGATACATAAAAAACAAAACAATTTGGTTACCATCCGACACGGCCATGATTCCTCCGTCTCTACTGGTGGAAAATGGCGTTTCGCTATGTCACAGCATTCAAGAGCCGGGACAATTCATTTTAGTTTTTCCCAGAGCATTCATTTCTAGCATTTGCACGGGTTACCTGGTTTCCGAGAGCGTGTATTTTGCACAACCGAGTTGGCTTACGACCGCCGAACAGGCGTTCAAAGACATACAAGAAAGTTGCGAACCGAGCATGTTCTCATTAGAGAAGCTATTGTTCAGCATAGCAACGGATTTCAGAACGAGCGTGGAAGTGCTTAAACAAGTAAGTTTTTAATTTTTAATTTACGAGGTTTGAAGTGAAAACGAATCCCCTTAAACGCATAACGAACGATTTCAGGTACTACCCATGGTTTGGCACGTGAGACAAAAAGAAATAGACGGACGAAAAACTCTTTTGAACCTCGGATTGAAAACGTCGGAGAGATTGCCGACGAGGGAAACGGGAAACAAGAAGAAAAAGGGACGTTGGGCACAAAACGACGACGGGGATTACGAGTGCGAAATATGCAGAACGAATCTTTTCGTGTCTTTGGTGACCAATTCTCAAGAAGAGGGTACATATTGTTTGCCACACGCCATCGACCTTCTCACTCAAAAAAGGCACCAGTTGAAATACTGCAAGCTCATGTATTCTTACACTCAGGTACTTTTTTTTTTTAACTCGAGTCGAAAATCTTCGGGTTACGGGTTAATTTTTTTTTTTTTTTGTCATTTTAGGAGGAAATGAACGAGCTCGTAGAGAAACTGGAGCAAAAAATCGAAACAAAATCTTTGAAGAAACTAACAAGCAAATCATCAACGTCAGCAAAATAATAATAATGATGACCGCAAACAAAACGAGGAGAAACACAAAAAAAAAAGTAGAAAATTAATTTATTTTTGTAAAAGTAATACTAATACTAACACTCATAGTAGTAATGATAATAATAATAGTAATAGTAATAAATGTTTGTAACGCGGATGATGAAGATAATGATGATGAATATTAAGATAATAATATTAATAATCAGTATTATTTTCTCGTTAGAACCGAAACCGCCATTTTGATAATTTTCCCCCGAATCATCTCCGTTAGTTATAAATGAAATTTCTCACGAATGAATTCTATGTTGAATTTAACGAGTTATTATTATTATTATTATTATTGTTAATAGCATTATTTTCATCATCATTATCATCGTCGTAGTAATTACGTGTGAAACAGGTAGTACAACGCATATATATTATCGAGGGGGGTAAAATCCAAGAATAGTAATTATTTATTCATCTGTCACTAATGAAACAATCACTTATTTATTAATTCGCTCTTACCGTCATCTTCATCATCATCTTCATCATCATTATTAGCATTATCACCATCACCATCACTAATACCACCACCACCACCACCGTCACTCGAACCGTTAATACCGTCGCAAAAAACTCGACGAATGTAAAAATTCGTTAAAAGAAAAGAAAACCAACCATGCACCACAGAAAACCAACAAAAAGAACCGCCAGTCTCGTAGTTAAACCACGTGACACAGAACGTGGAGGCAGAACCCGACGACGGGGTAGGGGAGGGGCAAGAGAATGAATACGTAATTTACCCGTTTTTTTCGTTAGACTACAATGTAATGAATAATTGTAATCGATGGTAATTGTAATAAATATATATATATATAATAAACGTTTTTATTTATTAACAATAAATAAATAAATAAATTATTTGTGTCTTTAACTGCATTAATATTATTATTATTATTATTAAAATTTTATTTTTTATTTAATTTAAATAAAAAAAAAAAAAAAAAAAAAATGTAGAATGTAATTAAAGATTATTAAAAAAAAAAAAAATCTTAAATGAATTATTATTTATTATGTAACAATTATTATTATAATTTTATTAATTATTATTATTATTTATATTGATAGCTATATGTGTAAATTATTTTTAAATAATGATAATAATAATTGCTTGATTGTAAATTTAGAAAAAAAGATGAATAATAATAATAATAAGAGATTAAAAAAAAAAAAAAAAAATTTTTATTTTATTTTTTGCAAAAAAAAAAAAAAAAACGATATTAATTTTTAATTATTGATTATTTATATATATATATTTATTATTGATCGTCAATAAATAATAAAGTTATTAAAAAAAAAAAGTTTTAATTTCTTTTTAATTTCATCGAGATAGAAAGTAAGAAAGTAAGGGGATTGAATGGTTCGAATGATAAAATAAATAAATTATCGATTATCGTTTGATAGATCGATCGATAAATCGAATGAGAAAAATCACGTGAATGTAAAAAACTTAAGAAAGAGAAATATCACAAATTAAATTTTTTTTCATTTAATAATATTAAATAATTAAAAATTTTAAATCACTGTTGTCATACATTTTATATTTTTCTCAATTTAATAAATTTCCATACTCTAGTTTAATCTATGGAGCATTTGAAGTAATAATAATTAATAATTTTGTCATTTATCTCAACCTGACAATTTTTTTGTCAAACAAACAAACAAACAAACAACACTCACAAAAACTATTTACGATAAATCATATCAAGACTAATAATAATCACTTTAAACACTAATTTTATTTTACTTTTCTCTCTTCCTTTTTACGATTAAATAAAAAAATTAAAATTATGTTAATATTATTAATTCACTATTAAAAAAAAAAAAAAAAACTTATGTTTAAAAATAAAAAATAATAATAATAATAGTTTTTAATATTAAGGTTTCACGATTTGAAAACCTTGAATGGGTTTTTAAAATGAAAAAAAAATGAAAGTTCGGTAAATGTGAAATAATTAAACTTTTCATCGTCTACCTCTTCCTCTTCCTCTACCTCTTCCACCTCGTCCACCTCGTCCTCCACGTCCTCTTCCTCTTGCAGCTCCTAACATCAATATTAATAATTCATATCAAAATTTTTTTTAATTATAACAAAATAAGGCTTAACTGAATTTGTAAGACAAACACAAATAGATGGTGGGTCAAAAGAGTTAAAAGGTTTGTTACCCAATAAAAATTATACACTCACCCCTTTGAGCTTCTTTTTTCTTTGCTTTCGATTTGGGTGTATCATCAATTAAAAGAGTTTCCAATGGTAGTGAATCAGGTAATATAAAATATCTAATATTGTTTCCTCTAATTGTCAACGTTTCCAACATGACGGGTTCTTTATTTTTAATTGTCATTTTAACGGCTTTTAAATGTGTATTCATAGCAACATCGACTCCAGTTATTGTTCCATGTACCTGAGTACCATTTTTAAGTTCTATTGTTACCGTCTCATGACTGAGTTTCATTAAAAACCTAAAATTAATTTTTAAAATAAATTATCGCCCGTTGTTTTAAATAAATAAAATTCATAAACGATGTGAAACAATTATTAAAAAAAAAAAAATGTAAACAACGGATAAACAAATACCGGCAAATTATTTAATAACGATCGAAAATCCAAATCAAAATAAATTTTATATAAAATAAAAATTTATTTATAATAAATAAAAGAGGAATAAATAAATTTTCAACTCACCGAACTAATTTCATGATGTATTACGATTAAAAAAAAAAGAAAAACCCCGAATAAGATTACAAACGACTAAATAAACGAAAACAAACGGCGGCCATTTTTGTCGTACATACGTCATCATCTCTGATGACACGTTTAAAAACGTAATAAACCCGCCATATTTTTTTTCCAATTAACAAACCAATGAAGTAAATTCAAATGATAAACAAATAATTTATCGATTTTTATAAAATTATCGATCGATATATTAATTAAACAAAATAAAACAAATTAATAAAAGATAATTCTTGAAGTGTAAGAAATATACTTACTAACTTTATAGCATTTTCATACACACACATACACAAAATGGCGGGAAATATAAAAACCACAACATTGTCTCTTTTCTCTCTCTCTCTCTTTAAAAAAAATCAATCAATCCAATCGATCAAATAATATTAAAATAGATAATTAATTTAATAAAAGAAAAGAAAATAATGAAAAAAATTTGAATTCATCCATCCATCCATACGATTTTATAAAAACGAAAAAAATTTTAAATCAGACTAGACCGAGAAAAAAAAACCGCGTATTTATTATCATTATTATTATTATTTTATTTATTTATTTTATTTTTATATATATATATTCTATATGTTTATATAAAAAAAAAATAAAAATTTTTCAATTCCTTTTGGAAGTGATACTAAAAACCAAAAAAAAAAAAAAAATCAATTTATTTATTTATTTATTTATATATATATATAATTAAAATTAAAATAAATAAAATTTCTTTATCATCATTATTATTATCATTATTATTATTATTTTTTGTCCTCATCAAATTAATTAATTACCCGATGCATCATTCTATTCCCACGTTCTTGTATAAAATAATAAAAATTTCAATAAAAATTTATTTTTTTTTAATTTATTTTTTCGCCCTCATGACGACGAACTCACAAACAAACAAACAAACAAACAAAAAACTTTTCCTTTTTCTTTCTTCCTTTCTTTCCTTTTTTCCTTTTCTTTTTCCTTTTTTTAAAAACTTTTCCAGGGGCGGAAAAAGGTTTTTCTTTTTTCTTTTAAATTTTAAAAATAAAAATAAAGGATCCTACTACATACATTTATTTACAAATGCACAATTAATTCTTTTTATTATTTTTTTACTCTTAATCATTATTATTATTATTTATTTATTTAATTGTTTCTTGTTATTGTTATTGTTGTTATTATTATTATTATCATCATCGATATAATTAATAATAATAAAATCAATAAAATTTTCCGGCATTTTAAATTCCTTTTAAAGAAATAATAATAAAAATTTTTTATTTTATTTGGACTTTTTCTTTCTTTCTTCCACTCATTCATTCATTCATTCTCTCAATCAATCAATCAATCAATCCCTCTCTCATTCAATCAATCATTCATTTTTAAATATAATTAATTAATTTTTTAATTAATTTACTTTTCTATTTTTTTAAAAAGTTTTTTTTTTTTTTTTTTTTTTTTTAAAGTCAAAAACCTCACAACAGAAATCATTTTTTTTTTTTTTTTTAATAACGATAATGATGATGATGATGATGATGATGATGAGAATGATGACGTTGACAATGACGTTGATGATGACGTTGACGGTGATGATGATAATGATGATGGGGGGGGGGGGGGTGATAACGATATCTGTGACTGTGTTTATTATTTTTTTTTTTTTTATTTTTTGCGGATTCTTACCAATTTTATTATTATTATTACTATTGTTTTTCTTTTTTTGTCATTTCACCGTTCAAATAACTAATACCAACAAAACAAAACAAACAAAAAAAAAAAAATGATAATGATAATCGTGATAATGATGATGATAATAATAATAATAATTAAAACTTTTTAAAAAAAATTTTTTTTTTTTTTTCATCACTCGAAAGAATTGTAATAATAATAATAATAATAAAAATCGTTAATAATAATGATAATAATAATAATAATAATAATAATAATAATTAAAAAATGAAAACAAATTCACTCGATCGAAAATCGTTACGAAAAAAAAAAAAAAAAAAAAAAAAAAAAAAAAAAAAAAAAGAAAGAATCCCACGGGATGGATTTTATAATCATTATCATTATTATTAATAAAATATTTTCGCACCCCCCCCCCGCGCGAGTGCGTGCGCGTGCGCATGTGCAGTTTCGTGGGGTGTGTTTGTGTTTACGACGACGTTGCAATAGTATAAAAAAAAAAAAAAAAAAAAAAGTTAAAAATAAACGGATGGCATTTCCGGGTACACAAAACTCTTTTTTTGTATTTTCTTTCACTACTAATTGATTAACAAACAGACAGATTTTTCTAAATTTTTCTTTCTTTCTTTCTTCGAATAGCAAAATAAAAAATAGAAAAAGACAAAGAAAAAAAAGAAAAAAGAAAAGAAAAGAAAATAAAATAAAAGAAAAGAAAGCAATAAATCGTTAATGATAATAAGTTCACTTTTTTTTGTTGCTAAAATAGGCCTCCATTTTTTTTTTTTTTTTTTTTTTTTTTTTTTAAAATTTTTGATTTTTTTTTTTTTTTTTTTGTTTTTTGATTTTTTTTCTTCTTCTTTGCATCAAACGTCAATATGACAAATAAAAATTCGCGTTATAACCTCAGGTCAACAAATACACAAAATAATATTAATAATAAAAAAAAGAAAAAAAAAAAGAAAAAGAAAAAAACGTCGTTTTTTTCCTTCCTTTCCGCTTTAATTTTTCCCCTGTATGAGTTCAACGAGTCTATGAGTTTCCCAACTCTCTCCCCCCTCGCGAAACCCCCGAACCGCGAAATAATGGATAAAGGAAAACTCGCACTCAGTTAGTTTAATTTCAAAATACACTATTTTCTTTTTTTTTCTCTCTCTTTTTTTGGTTTTCTTTCCCTTTATTATTATTATTATTATTATCATTAGTATTAGCATTATTATTATTATTATCAAATCCGATTTACGTTAACCTTCCGATTCTTCTTCTCCCTCGTTATCTCCTCCCTTGTCGCGCACGTCATCATCTTCCTCTTCGTCGTCATCGTTTCTCTTATCGTCTCCTTCTTCCTGAGGCATTTCTTCGTCGTCATCTTCGTTCCCGCTATTTCCCCCCTTCGATCTACTCGTGGATTCCCTGCTCTCGTATTCTTCGCTTTCTTCTCCCGAATGATCGGGTTCGGATTCGACCTGACGAATTTCTAAACTTTTACGCCTTCTCAATCGTTCTTTGACGGCCGACAAGGATTCCACGCCTCCATTTTCTCCTCCTCCTCCTCCTCCGTTCGATTTGATCGGAGCATCTTCTAAATCGATCACTTGAACGGAATCGTTTTGGGATTTGGTATGTTGCTGAATTCGAGGCTGGAAACGTCGAAAAAAATGAAAATATTATTATTATTATTATTATTTATTTTTTTGTGTTTTTTCCAATTCCAAAGAAAACAATCATATTATTAACAACCTGTATGCTAACTCTGGATGTTCCAGGCACTGATCTGTTCGAGGATAATGACTGATGTTTACTAGAACGTTGCGGTATTATTGTTATCTCATCACTTATTTTAAAAGGCTTCACTTGAGATGCTGGATCGGATCGATTACTCTGGAGAAAGAGAGAGACAAAGAGAGAGAGAGAGAGAGAGAAGAAATAGTAGAATGACAATAAATATACAAAAAATCTCACAATATTTGAGAGAAAATTAAAACCAACCGAAGATGTCGATGCTGAACTCGAAGATTGTCCGTTTCTTCTGTCCATAACTCGTTTGGCTACGACGCTATGAGCCGAATAAACGTGATTTTCAAATTGTTTGTACATTCCAAATGTTGCCGTGCAAACCGTGCACTTGTACGATAAATGAGCCGGTTTCAGGGTCATATTATGATCCCTTGCCACGTGATTAAGTAATTTCCACTGATACGCCTACGACAACAAAAACAAATCAAGAATATAATAATAATAATAAAAAAGAGAGAAAGAGAGAGAGAGAGAGAGACGACAGACTGAATCACATTTAAAATATTATCATTTTATTTACCCGTCCGCAAACTGGACACCGTCCTCCGTCTTTTCCCTCGTTGGCCGATTCCTGCATGCTCGATGTTACCAAACCGTGAGATCCCAATAAGTGACGTTCTAAACCTTGATCGGTGAAAAACCTAAATTGACATTTTTGACAATTCAACGGCGGCCTGTTACAAATCATTTTCGGATGAATTTTAACTTTATGAATCCACTGCATGTGATTTCTTAATTGTTCCAAATGCTGGGGAAAGAGAAAAGAAAACGCGTTAATAATTTTATAAAAAAAAAAAAAAAAAAAAAAAAAAAAAACATGGAGTTATTATTATCATCATCATCATCATCATCATTTTCATAATTAATTACTTTAACGTAGCCATCACAGATTTCACAAATCACGAAAGTTGTGTTTGAATTGCCCGCAGCTCCAGCCTGTCTTTGAACTGTGACGCCTGATGACGTAGAAGGTTGATTATTTGTCGTCTGTCTGGGGAGAGGCGTGATTGAAATACTTGGCTGATTTAATAGCTTGACGGCTGCCGGATTTTTCTGCTGAAACAAAAATCAATGAAAACCTAAAATGCCTCTCCACTTTAATCACTTCACTACACTTCGATTTTTCCCCCTCCTCCCCCCCCCAACGATTTAAATAAAAACCAAAACAACAGAAATTAGGTTAATGAAGAACAAAACATTAAAATGACAACGGAAAAAAAAAAAAAAAAACCCAGAGACGTCAGAAAAAAAACAAAAAAACAAAAACAAAAATTTAAAATGGTAAAAATAATAGTAATAATAATAATAATAATAATAATAATAAAGCATACTAGATGGTTGTTAGGGGATTATTAATTATACCTGATCGATAGAAAGATTGGTTGTGACGCCTGCAGTTTGGTTCGTGGTTAAACCAAGACGTGCCACGGCGGAGGGATTTCCCGGGACGTTCATCACCTGTCCCTGTTGTCCCATCACCTATTAGAATATTACACACACACGTGCTTCAGTTTGAAAAAGTGTTTCAAGTATAAAAAATATAAAGAAACAAACATCCCGTCAATGGTTAATAATAACCGCTCGTAAGGTTTGATAAAACACAAAAAAAAAAAGAAATTAAATCCTTGGGAAAGTGTGCAAGAAAATTAATTACAAATTTGACAGGACAAGACAAGACAAAAAAATTGGAAAATTTTTTTACATTTCATCGTTTTACATCATTTTTCCCCCCCCAAAAAAAAAAAAACCGCCAACCGCCATTTTTCACGAAATTAAATCGTGTAATAAAATAAACGATATAGCAAATCAAGAGCGAATACGAAAAAAATAAAAAATAAAATAAAATAAAGAAAAAATAAATAAATGAATGTAAAAAAAAAAAAAAAAAAATAATAATAATGAAATCTGTTGTTAATTTTAACGAACGTGAAAACCTTTCACGAACCTGAAATATTTGATTGCCGGCTAATTGATAAGATGACGATGGTACAATCATTTGTTGAGATCCGGTATTGGCGCCTGGTCTGTAAACCATGTTCGCTCTGGGGGGAACGGATTGTATCGGTCTCTTGTCCAACATTATTTTCGGATTCGTACCGGGAGCGATAGGTGGGAAATTGGGACGTCCTCTCGCTCTGAGTAAAGCATTTTGTTGATTATTAAGAGGCGCTACCATCTTTGGAAGTAATGTTTGCTGCATATTTTTTGATGCTAATGCCTAAAAAAAAAAAAAAAAAAATATTAAAATTTTACACGTTTGTACGACAAACGAATGCTTTTCAAAAGCATTTGTTTGTAAAATGAAAAAAAAAAAAAAAAAAATCTTTAAGGTTTTGATGGGTTTTCTTTCTTTTTTTTTTGTCAGATGTTGAAGAGATGCTTATTAAACAAAACAAAAAAAAAAAAATGTCTCTTCAACCTCTGAACCCATCCTTACCTGTTGATAAAGCGTATTATTTACATTCATGGGCATGTTGGGAGGTTTTCTCGTCATTCTGGGTATTTTCGCCGGCGGCTCCCAATCCATTGGGGGTTCTAAATTTTTTTCCGCTCTGAATTTCTTCGCGCACGTTAACAAATGCCTGGTAAGCTTTCCTTTTTGATTATCTTCGAAAGGGCACTGCGGACACTGATGAAACGCCGGAGCTCTTTCCAGTCTCCCTCGAATATTATGCTCCGCTTCCATGTGAAACAATATGTCGTGGGGCCCTCTTACTTCAAGCGGGCAAAAGTTGCATCTGTACACGTAGTTCCTCATGTGAGGGGTTTCCAAATGATGTGCCATTATCAACTTTGATTCGGTTTTAAAGCTGCAATAGTCGCATTTATTTTGTTCCATTGTATAGGGTTCGTTGTTCTCTTTGCTCATTTGAAGGTTTTTCTTTAACGAATTGATAGCCATTTGAGTATCGTCGTTTCCTTTTCCCATTTTTTGCTTTTTCTTGTGCTGTTTAAGTAAATCCGTTTGAACAAATTGTTGAACCAAATTCATTCCTATTTGCATGAAAAATTTCCCAAGGGGATTGTCAAAATATGAACCGCCCGTTGTCGGTTTCTTTTTCTCTTCTTCGTCTTCGTCGTCGTCGTCTTCCGAAGAAGAAGATTTCCCATCTTTTTTATTTTCTTTCCCTTTAATTTTTTTTACTACGCTCACTTCTTTACACGTTATAATACTATCATCTTTCTTTTTAACTTCGTTGAGTATTACACTATTATCGGTATTATTATCACAACTAACAGTTTTTTCCTCTTCTTTTTTCGGTGTCACTAAATTTTCATCACTTTTTTTGTTTTTATCTTCTCCCTCTCCGTTTTTTTCTTTCAACAAATTTTCATCCTTCTTTTCTTCGGACGACTTTTCATTTTCTTCCAAAACAATCACCTCTGATTTTTCTTTTTCGTCGCTATCAGGTTTTTTATCCTCGCTAGTTGTTTCTTTATCGGATTCTTTCGATTCCTTAGATTCTTTTTCTTTTTGATTTTCTTCTTTTTTGGCTTCTTCTTCTTCTTCTTGAATTTTAATTTGCTTTAACATTTTCTTAACGTATTTTTTAAATTTTTTCACGGGAGGTTTTTCATATACATAAGGGACAATAAATGAGGGAGCTTCGACGACGTACATATCGTCAGTAAGCATGGGTAGAATAGGCGGAGGTCTTTGTACAGATTTGGTCGGGATTATTCCCTGAGCGGGTAATGTAGCAGCTGGCAATCCCGTATACGGTTTTGCATGATGGGACTGTTGCGGCAAGGAGCCAGTTCCTCCACTTTGAATATGAGGTTGAGGCGTGACTGTGACGGAAGGGATTTGAATTTGCGGTGAACCCGATTGCGCCATAGGCACAGCACCACGACCAGACAGTATCGAGTTCGTATCAATTATCACTAAAGTTGGTTCTTTTTTATTTGTATTAGTGTTTCTGGCCGCAATATCAGCCAAACGTTTTGTATCTTTCACTACTATAGTTGTATTTCCAATTTTTCTAGGGATTTTCCTAATATCGGCTATTGTATCAGCTAATGGATCCTGAGGAGTAATTTCTTCTATTTCATCTGAATCATTACCAACATCATCTTCACTACTGTTCGATGGAGCCTCATGGCCAAAACGCACTGGTCTCTGAATTGTTCTCGAACTTCTTCTAGGAGTTATGACCACTTGAGGCTCTTTAATTTTCTTTGGTGCTTCACTGCTTTCATTAGTATTTTTCTCTGTTGCTGCACTCCCTTCTTTTGCCTTTCCACTTTTTTTAGTATTTTCACTTTTACATTCACCATTTTCTTTATCCTCTTTGCTTTCTTTATCTTTTCCAGGTTTCGAATTGTTTTCATCAGACTGATCACTACTTATCTCTATTACTTCCTTACTATTCTCTGTATTACTAACTTCAGCATTGTCTTTTTTTACGCTTTCTCCATCTTCAATTTTTTCTTCCGATTCCCCTACAATTTCTACATCAGACACTTTTTTACTTTTATCACTATTAGACTGATTATTTTCAGAATCACAATTTCCTACATTTCCACCTTCAGAGGGCACAGATTCATCATCATCAACCTCCATGAGCTCATGAAAATCTTGATGGCTATTGGAATTATTATTTTTCAATTTACTATTCAAACTATCTCGAGAGTTATCCCCATTTTCTGCATCTGTGTCACTGCTGTGTTCACCACCATTTTTAATTTTAGAACTACTGTCATTGGATGCATCTCCACCCAATGAATCCTTTATTTCTTTTTTAAAATCACTGTCACGAGAATCAGGATCAACATCTATAACATTCATTGAACCATTTACATCTCCGTTTAATTTAATTTTCGTGGCTGAAAAGTCTTTGAGAGCTTCACTCGAATTAGAGCCCTCAGTCGATATTGTTTCCATGTTTAATTGTGTCACTGTTGCACATCTAAAATCACAATAAAATTCAATTATTATTTATGTAAAAGCAATTTAAAAGTTAATATTAATGTTTTGTTATGATTTGAAATTAATCAAAATGCAATATTTTGAGTAAGAGAAATGAAATTCATATGTATTACAACAAATTATTTATACATGTATAGTAAAATGCATGTAATGTAATATTTGTAATAATAAATTCAAGGTATTCAAAATAAATAATTATTTTGGTAAATACAACACTCTGGTAAGTTTCAGGACATTAGTAAATGATGTATTCATGATATATCTACAATTTTTGAGATGAATGGCATCTATTTTTCAGTCATAAAAGTTGAATTTGTAAATCTATGCCAAATTCATTTTAGGTTTTTATTTACAATACATCATATGCTTAAACCTTTGAAAAACAATCATCAAATTATAAAATCACAATTTTAAATAATCAAGCTCCATTAAATAAATAAATTTATTTTTTCTTAATACCGTTTCATTAGTAAATTTAAAATAAAATAAAATTAGAGAAAATACAGTTCAATGTTTTCTGTCATGAAAGCAATGTCATTAGAACTTGTAAAAAGACATGGTTCTCCGATAAGTTAACAATAAGCTGTGTCGCCATTGTCGCAGTTTTACTCAAAATAGAAACTGGGTTTATAAAATGGCGGATAAAGCGTCAAAGTTCATCCAGAAAAATAGCAAATTTAATATTTACACAAAAGGATTCCCGTGTTTATATACGAAAAACAACTTGATTTCCTCTTGAAAATAATCCTTTTCATATCCAATGGTACTTTTTCCCGATATTCACTCATTGTCAACTTAAAAACGTTTCATAGGAACTTCGACATTATAGTAGCGTCACACCTGCTTCACATATCCGATTCTCGCGGTTTGTTTAAAAAAAAAAAAAAAAATGCATTTGTTTCGAAGAGAAACTCGTCTTTTTAACGATGAGGACGACTCCTTTCCCGACCGCGACACCACGACACAAATCATAAATAATTATTTTCCTATTTTTTTTACGTGAAAACCCCCCGAACGAATAAAAAAAAAAAAAAAAAAAAAAAAAAAAAAATTTGAACGTTCGAATGAACTCCTATGGAACAGAAAGATGAAAACCGGAATGGTTCTCACGTTGGTCGCTACGCTACTGCAGCAGCACCGATCAAATGTACACTTGCCTTCGAAATTGAATACCTTTATTAGGCGAACCAAAGTTCTCCGAGTACAGTGTACGCTGCAAGTTAAGCCCAGCTGGTACAGCTGCGAGACTTCGCAACCGTCGAGAACGCCGCTATCAAAACCCAGTGTACTTTCACAATGTAAGGCAAATAAATAACAGGCAAGTGTACATTTTCGATAGTCTATTCTGTTTTTCAGAACGAGCCTAAACGAAAATCACCCTTCGCGATTTTCAAACATTAAATCCGACACAAGAATTAAAAAAAAAAAAAGAAAAGAAAACGGAAACGAGACGTTAAATGCCCCATTTTCCGTGTAATAAATTTCAGTTATGACAATAATAATAATAATAATAATAATAATAATAATAATAATAATAATAATAATAAAGTTAAAACTTAATAATAACAATAATAAATAAGTAATAGAAAAAAAAATGCCACAAACTATACACATAAAAAAAAATAAATAAATAAAAAAAATCAAATGACTGAAAATAAATATTGATTTTATTGCATTGAAAAGTAAAAAAAAAAAAAAAATAATAATAATAATAAAAAAGTTTACAATTTTCGTTTCCCTCCCAAAAGAACAATGTGCGTGTGCGTGTGTGTATGTGTATATGCGTACGTACACACATATAGGAAAAAGAAAAATATAAAAAACAACAACAACAATTTGAAACCATTTCGTCCAAAATTAATTTCATAAAAAAAAAAAAAACTTGGAAAAAAAAAGAAAAAAAAAAAAAAAAAAGTGGCAGCATGAAAATATACAAAAATTGACACGACCAATGGAGTACGAAATGAAGTACAAACACAAACACAAACATTTAACGAAAATTCATTTTTCCATTAAAAAAATAACAACATAATAATAATACACGTAATAAACATACATCATACCGTGTCTCGTTGAAAAAAATAATAATAATAATTATAAGGGTTTTTAATTTATGTGAAGAGAACCGGAAAAACCTTTTTGGGGAAAAATAAGAATTAAGTGTTTGTCAATTGATTTAAAAAAATTAAAAAAATTCATGAAAATTCGTATAACGGATTTTTTTTTAGGGAACAAGCAGAAAGAAAAAAGGACGAAAGAAAATTATTGTCGCCAAAAGGGTACCAAAGTCAATCAATCAACATTTCTTATGGGAAAAATATCATCATCATTGACATTATTATTATTATTATTATTAAATTCGTGACTAACAATAATCTTATAATAATAATAATAATAATAATAATAAGTAAAAAAAAAAAATTATTGAGTTGGCAAGACTGAAAACAAAAAAAAAAAAAAAAAAAAAAAAAAAAGGAAAAAGAAGAAAACCATGTGGGGTGCCACGTAGACGAACGAACCCTACATAAAACTAAAATCGACATGTCGGGGGTCACGTGACGCAACGAAAACGATGACGTCAATAGAAGCTAGTAGCCCGAACATGAGAATTCTGGATGCACGAGTGAAGGTTACAAAACATATTTAAAAAAAAAAAAAAAAAAAAAAAAAAACAACGGTGTGCGTGAACGTACCACCGTAAGATAGATATCGGTGGCACTTCCAAATTCGGACTCAGCAGTCACGTGGTTACGTACACGTCCAATCAGCGTTTCGGAACGTCGAAGAATAAAAAAAAAAAAAAAAAAAAAAAAAAGAAGCCTTCCATATAAAACCAAACGGCGACGACGAATCGCAAAAAAAAAAAAAAAATTTCCCTGTCGCGAATTTTTAAAAAAATCTGGTAAAAAGGAAAAAAAAAAAAAACCGTGGCAGAAGACAACAACGACAAAAGATTTTTTCATTTCTTTTTCGTCAAGTAAAAAACAAACAAACAAGAACAAACGAAAAAAATCAAAACAAAACAAAAGAAAAAAAAAAGAAAGAAAGAAAGGACTGATAAAAAAAAAATTGATAATCCTCAAAAGATATTTACAAGTAAAGGGAAAAAAAGTACATGATAATAATAATAATAATAATAATAATAATAATAATAAATAAATAAATAAAATTTTCAACATTTTCCGCAGATTTGACGTCTGATTCATTATCACGAACCGTTCGATGGGGGAGGGGGGTGGGACGGGGAGTGAAGGGGAGGGGGTAGGAGGGGCAGGAAGGGAGAGGAAGAGGGGAGGGGATTTTTTTCCCATTTATTTATTTACATTTTTCCGCAGTACGTACGACGTAAAGCAAAAAAAAAAAAAAAAAAATGCCATTTTTGAATGCACGAAAAAATAAAATAAAATAAAAAATAAAAAAAAGGGATATCACGAATCAAAAAACAAATAAATAAATAAAATATTAATAATAACAATAATAATAATAATAATAAATAAGAAAGAAAGAGCAGAAGAGAAACAATTTAAAAAAAACAAAAAACAAAAACAAAAACCGGATGCACGATGATAAAGTTTGCAAACTTGAATCATTCACAACTGCGCATGCTCGGTGAGACTAAAAATTTTTTTTTTTTTTTTTTTTTTCAAATAAATTTTTAATTAAAAAAAAATAAAAAAATAAAAATTGCACCACCTGAAAAACGAGTAGACGGAAAGTATTGATAATAATAATAATAATAATAATAATTTTGAGGGTAAAAGGTAAATGCTTGGGGAGAAAAAGCAACAGCAACAACAACAACAACAAAAAAGGAGCGAATAAATGAAATCGATAAAATCCGATCGTCCGCCCCACAATTTAAAAATCAATATTTCACGTGCGACCAATCAATCAGTCAATCAGTCAGTCAGTCAGTCAGTCAGTCAATCGGTATTTCGCGAAACCTAATTTTAATATGGCCGCCGCTTTGAGTAGAAAAAAAAAAGAGTCCACCACATACAAATCGAAAAAAAATAATATTTATGTAGGTATGTATGTATGTATGTATGTAAACTGCTGATGCCAATATTAAAATAATAATAATAATAATGATGATGATGATGATGATAATAATAATAATAATAAAAGGAAAATAAAAGCTGAGTCGGCAAATCCAATTGAAGTATTTTAAAACCGATAAAAAACAATTAAAAAAAAAAAAAAAAAAACTACAAATCTCACCTTTTTTTTTTTTTAAACATTGCAAAAGAAAATGCAGAAAAAAAGAAAGATCGTATAAAGAGAAAGAAATAAAGAGAGAGGGAGGGAGTAAGACAAACAAAGAGTGAAAGAGAGAGAGAGAGGGAGAGAGAGAGGTAAAAAAAAAAAAAAAAAAAGAAGAAAACTTACAACGGTCATTATCAGGAACGAGGTTTACGCCCAGCAAAACAACTTGATAACCGGCCAAAAACGTCCGAAATCGCATACTTGGCACTTGTTTAAATAATTTTGAAGGTTTCCGAAAGTGGCACAATCAGCCTAAATTTTGCCTCGGCTCATTCGTCAGGGTCATACATTTCGTCGAGAGAGAGAGAGAGAGAGAGAGAAACAAAGAGAGAGAGAGAGAGAGAGACAAAGAGAGAGAGAAAGAAAAAAGGGAACAAATTCGAGAAAAGAAAAGTAAAAAAATTACGCTTTGTTTACCAAAACGCTTTGAACGCTAGCAAAAAAAAAAAAAAAAAAATTTTTTTACGATTGATTGATAAATAAAAATAAAGTGAATGAGATGATGACGATTCGCTAATTTCGCGAGTTGTGAAAGACAATTTTTGTCACGCCAGACATTCGTTCGTAGTAAATGAAAAAAAAAAAAAAAAAAATTTGCCATCGTAAATGAAATAACGAAAGGGACAGGCTGCATCGCCATCGCCACCGCCATCTACGACGAGCCTGACACCATTTGCAAAAAAAAAATT